CGTTCTTATTCGAGAATGATATACAATTATTTTGTTCATTTTCAAAAATTCTTTTTTCTGTTATGTTTTTTTGATAGAAAAGCAGTTCCAATAGTATCAATGTCAATTTCAAAATCTCGTTCAAACGGGTGTCCCATATAAATGGCCGGTTTTTGTATGTCAGATTTTAACCTTTAAAAATTTTTATTAAAAAACCGAGTATACCACAAGATGCAACGTGAAAAGCTCTACAATTCACAAAACAAGACTGATTTTGGTTGTTTAATTTTGATTTTGAAAAAGACAAAATTCTATACGACCACTTTTCGAAGGTGTCAAAAAACCATTCCTTCGCTTTTATTTTATCTGTGTATCTCTTAAGATGTTTTCTTTAAAAAAGTATAATACACCAGAAGGTGCAACGTGAAAAGATCTACAATCTGCAAAGTAAAGCATATTTTGGTTGTGTAATTTATGTTTTCAAAAAAAAGTAAAATTCCGGGAGAATAATATCCATTGTACCTAAAAGATCATTTTTCTATTCCAATGAGCAAATCATTTTGTTCTTATTTCATCCTTTTATCACCTAATTAGTTTTATCGCATATACCTCAAGATGCAGCGTAAAAAGTTCTACAGTGTACAAAGTAAAGCTTTTCTAATTGTATACTTTGTGTTTTGAAAAGAAACAAAATTCTGCGAGACCGTTATGCGCAGCGTCGAAAATTGATTGCGCAGACTTCCATTTGTTTTGAAAATACCAAGTATACAATTAAAATAAGCTTTCCTTTGTAGCTGCAGAGATCTTTACGGTGCATCTAATGCTAATTTCTGTGCTTTTTTAAAATGTATTTAAAGATTAAAATATGAAATAGAAAAATTGACCATTTATTATGGGACACTCGATATATGTTGCGGGAAACAGATACATCAGGATAGCAATAAACAATTCCTGAGACTAAAATTCAATCTTCCTACATAAAATACAGAATCACATCGAATATATGTATGTTGAATAAAGTAGTTTTACTCTAGAATATACAGGAAGCGTGAAAAATTAGAGAAAGCAATAAGTTCTTATTGATTCCAATAATTTATTTTAGGGGTTGCAATTGCTAACTATTGCATTGCTGGCGCGCTGCCTATGTTTGGAGACTTGTAAAAAAATTATTCAAGATGTTTACCGAGTACTATTGTACAATATCTGTCGTACTCTAGGTTTGAATGCGAAGATGGGGCTGTGGTTCGGTGTTGGTATTGATTTATGGCAGATGCAAGAAGACTCTCACCCACACCCTTTATATAGCCTGTAAGTTTTACCTAACAAGCAAAGCACTGCCAAAATACATGTCTTCACCTTATCTTATATGTGCTATAGATAAAACTTTGTTTTATACGTTATTACTGTAATGAACAATGAATATTTCCGTTGTCGGCTTCAACACTTTATCATTTGTCAGATAAAATTTCCAATAATTCTCAAACTTTATAGGTAAACTAGCCCTATTGGAATGTTAATATGAAGAAAGTTTTAGATTAGAATTTAAAATTTTGATTTTATCCAAAAGATGAATTGCTGCATATAAATTATAGGAAAACATTGGTGATCAGTCAAATAGAAATTTACACGCATATTCTTCTTTGATTTTTTTTACTAGTATAAATGTTTTCAATGCTGACTCCAAATATGGAGAGATATTCCGTGAAAATTTCATTCAATTTTGAGTTGTTGAAACGAATACAAGGGTGTGGGTGTGTGGGTGTGGGTGCGGGCGTGGGTGTGGGTGTCTGTCTTTTGGAGTAAAACCCACACCCACACCCACCCACACCCACACCCACACCCACACCCACCCACACTCACACCCACACCCCACACCCTCATCTGTTTTACATAGAGACAATATCTCGCTTAGATACAAAGATCAGATACAATATTAAGAGTTATTATAAGAAGGAAAAGTAAAAGACTATGATAACCTATGCATATTGATAATGTGTAAATACTAGAGAATAAAAAAAGTTTTCATTGTTGTATCGTAGCATATGTTCAGAAGATTCCAAACATTTTGGCAAGATCCTTGTTACTTTTACATCTGAAAGAAAATCATTAATTAGAAGCAAAGACAAGTATTCATCAATACCCATCCATAAATTGTTTCTTGCTCAGTTTCTGTCCTTGATTGAGATTAAACATGCCGTAGATATCTTTAGCAACTAGTTTTGAGTCAACATTTGTTGATTCGCTACCGGCTGTTAGTTGCCACTTGAAGAAACACATCAAAGGTTCATCTGGCATTAGAACAAGAAAAGGAAAATGAAGTCTTACTGCTTTTTCTGTGAAGTTCACCATTTCATCACAACTAATGTATTCGTCACCCGATGTATCTAATCTAAAAACGAAAAAAGAAAACTCGAAGAAATACACATTCAAAACTTTAGTAATAATCTTCTAATCGAGCGACTTTCTACTCTTGTCTTTTGATTGTGTCTGGATATTCGAAAGAAGACTTACAGTGAGAACGCAAGTTCAAGCTGACTATCCAAATCAATCTTATAGCCGACCGTAGAAGCCAATACAAATTCACTAAAATCAATTGATCCACTATCATTAATGTCAAATACAGCAAATGCCTTACTGAAAAAAAAGATAAATGATTACGATGAAATATAAGAAATGCATTGACATACTCAGCTAAACTACCATTCTTATCTTCGAATCCTGTAACGTGCTTGTAAAATTTACTAAATTGACGTTTGTTCATCCTGCCTGTGCCTGATTCAGCCTCTTGATCGAATTCCTGGAAAGATTAAAATAAAATTTTCTCCGAGAAGTCTTTCGAAGATGTTTTACTGCTTACTTCATACATTTCTCGTATTTCTAAAATTACATAAACAAAAACTTCATATGATGATAATCATATCTCACTACTACTTACGCTTTTCACTAAGTTTAGTAGTAGCTTTGAGTACGGCGATTTCTAATAGGAAAATAGTTCTGTAAAACTACTCACAATGAATTCATAAAACGATAAACCTTTCTCAAGACGTGTGCTTGGTGTTTTCATGTTGCTTGCTACGTTACCCATGATTTGATGATCAGAATTGTTATTATATAAAGAAAGTGTTTATCTGAAAACAAAATCAGAAATAGACAAGTAATGCAAGTGTAGTACATTTAGACATATAATATGAAATATCTTGTATTTATTTTTGTTGTTGTTCTTCGTCGTATGGAATAGAATCTGTTTACAGGTAAAATGATGATAATTATAGAGAAAAGAAGAGAAAAAAAAAACATAAAAATGTTTCTATGGTCCTCACATAATTTGGGATGCAAAGAAAACTTGAGGCAGAATGAATAATACAATTTAATGAAAGGACGACGACATAAATAGAACTAATACAATATGAATTACGGAATTCCTCGCCTGATTTTTCTCTGCATGTTGTAATGCACACTGTCAACCTAGCTCTGATTGCAGTTAATTATAATCAAACATGTATTTAAGAACAAGTCGAAGAATCACGAGAAGAGCAAAGAGCACGATAGTAAATTATTATGATTGACGACAAGGAAGAAAAAAAAAGAAAGTAAAAGTCGACATAAATTTTGCTCTCGAGCAATACAACATTATATGAAGAAAAAAAAATCACCTTCATATTCTTCTGTTTATTATAAACAGTAACCATAAAAATACTTTATCGAATTGCTGGAAACCAAATAATATTCTATTGTGAAAGACCTATTAGTAAATGTTCACTAATGAATGATCACAGAGATCTACTTCGACATTGAGTTTAGAACTTTTGATATACATTCAACTTAGATTCAATGAAATTCTGGTCTTCCTATTTCTACTGTGAAGGTAGTTTTCGAAAATGAAAGCTTCTAAAATTTTTATGATTCTAATTTTATTCTAATTCTTGATTTGTTCAAAATTGGAGTATGCCTCAGGAATCGAAGAAATAATCGCTAAAAACCTCCAATCTCTGCCAATAAATGAATTCGAATGTTTTCAACGATTCTGAACATTAATATTCGACGTTTGATAAAAAATATTCTGCCTTTTTCAACCTTACTTTTTCAATCATTTCAGAAACAGATCAGAAATGGTTTATGATACAACATAGACATATTACTCTGAGCATTAAAAATACTGTAACCATATACAAGTCGACATTTTCATATGAGGACTAAAGTCATAATATTTCATAGACTAATCTATGAAGCCAATATAATCAATGATAAAATACAGAGTTCAATTGAGGATACAAAAATAATAAATTCAATTATGTTTATTTGGTATTATATGAATTGTTGAACATGGTAAAGCATTTCATTTTAGCAACATATCTACTTTTTGTGTTGTTGTACGTACTTGTTTTTGAAAATACAATATATCGATAAAAGAAAATGCTGCATGTTTTTTTTATCTATATTATTGCGTACACTATTCTCTTGTAATTTCGCTCCTATCATTACATTTTCAATATTTATCTGTACAGCTACCTTTCTGTAATGTGAAAACATATGGTCATAGTCGTTAATTATGCTATTTATTAAATAGCTAAAAATGGATTCTCTCTAATCAATAATGATCCCTTCATATACTACAGTCTCCTGATACTGATAAAACATGTGCATTGATATTCGAAGTTGAACAATTGTAAGTTAAGTAATATATCGGAAAGACAACTAATCAGCATATTAAGTAAGTAACACACTTTAGTGACGTCAATCTGATGGAAACTCTAGCAAGAACATGCTCGACATGTACCAATTCAAAAATAACTTACAGTACCTCTTTTCTCACCATTTATCACAAAAGAAAACGATTGTTTTCTATCCGTTATTACTTCACATAGTTTCTTATGTCTTATAACTTATCTCTTTCTATGTGTGTTTCTTGTGAGCATTCTCTTATGAAATAAATGATGAAAGATCATTGTCCTCTTACAATCACCATCACTTAAAATAAAGTTGAGAAACATTACTTTAGGATAGGATGATGACAAGTAAATAAAGAAACATGTGTGCCTTTTTCACCGGGAATATTCAAACTTACCGTAGAATGAAGACTAAAAGTATCGAAATATTAATGTGATTACAAATATGAACTATTTATTAAATGTTTTACTACACTAAATTTATTGTTTTATTATGTAATTTTTTATGTAAGATTTTATTTCAACTTCACCGGATAAATTTATAACAAGATGTTAGTGTAATGTTTATCACAAATATTAGAACGTTGATTTGTCATCAATATAAACATTTGAAAAAGTTTATAGGTATTCTTTTTATCATAGTGAAAAGGTCAAGTATTTTTTTTCAGGTGACGTATATCCATCTTATTCAATGTTAAGTCATCATTATTCAGACTCATTCTATTTTTCTTTATCATTGTTCAATTGAAACACAGCAACAACAGGAAAATGATCGGAAGAATAATTTCTAGATCGAATATCTTCGACAGCTATGAATTGAGGTTGTAGACTTCTTTTGTCATCAATCGAATTTCTATATAAAATCCAATCGACATGAAATCGATGTAGAGACCATAGTTTAATCAATTCGGAGAATTTTAACATCTGACGAGATTTCCACAATTCTTTCAAAATATCAATATATGATGAAAGACGTTTAGATATTTCATATGGTAATTGAACACCTGAACCAAGAAAGGTAAATAATATTGATTGTAAAAGTTGAAATCCATAAGTGTTTATGATTGATCCTAACCAACCATGATATGTTGACGAAAATGAATTTGATATACATATAGATGTCTGAGATTTGCAATTGTCCATGTATCATGTAGAAAATCTGACGATGTCAATATATTATATGCAGCTTGTTTAGGAACAGAATTAAAATCTCCAAATAAAAGAACTACAGCTGTTGGATATTTCTTTTGCCATTGTTCTATTGTAAATCGAATAATTTTTGTCTCTTCTTGACGAGCTTGTTTACTTTTGACATCTAGATGAGTATTAAAAACAAGAATATTGATCGATTGATCATCATTTTTTAAATGAAATCGTGTAATATTCAATGTTTGTGCACCAGAACTATTCCAATATTTGCTTTCAACAATTCATGGTGATTTTGATAACCATCTATAATCTTGTTCTATTAATTTTAATACTTGATTATTATATAAAATAGCAACTTGAAAATCCATACGAGAGGATGGATGTTCTAAGTTTCTATCGATGCCATCAGGTTGATAACCAATATATTGATAATATGTTGGTAAATGAGATCTCCAATGAAGTAATTGATTGGCAAATGGTTCTTGTACATTTAGAATAGATGGTTGCCATTTTTCAATAGTTTCTGTTAAACGATAAACTCTTTTCGTAAAATGATTATTTGGATCATGTTCTATTCCATCGAAACGAATGTTAAATGTCATAACAGACAATAAATCTTGTTTGATAACTAAATATTTCTGCAACATATCGGAATCATCTTTTTCGGTATAACGTGAAAAAGTAAATAGGAAAGCAATGAACACAGAAATAAATATTGAAAATAATATAACTAATTTTTGTTGCATAATAAAAGATACTAATATCCAGATAATTAAATTTACTATTAATATTATAAAATATTTCATTTCATAAGACAGTAGATATGGTACATCAAAGTGTCTGCAAGTTAAACTTGTTTATATCTAATCACATTTTGTCTTTTAAAAGATGAATTGAAATTAGCTGTCAATATACATGTTTTATCTTATTGGATTCAATCAGCTATAAGATCATATTATGTGCCTCTACAGTACACAAACTGAAGATGTATGTTCGTTAGTGTAACTGACGAGGAATGCATGGATTTCGATTCGTTCAATAACTAGTTCAACTTTAGTAAAACAGTATTAGAAATTTTATTTCTAATAGTCAGATTTATCGGTCAAACACCAGACAACAATGATGTCACTATCAAGCATGCCAATATAGAAACAAATTAAGTATTTGACGACTTGGACAACTACGCATTTAATATTATAAAATTTCTTTCTAAAATTGAAATTTTCATCTAATGAAATTTAGTTTCGAAGTATTCATGATGATTCAATTATCTTTTGGATAATTAATATTTTATGTTGCACAGTGACTGATATTGTCTATTCTGAATCAGCTATTTCTGTTGCATTCATATTATATGGACCTTCATTATTTTAATATTTCTGTTATGTCCTCAAATTTGAAATTTTGTTAGACTTTTCTGGCTGTAGTGAACTTGAATTACTAGCTAAAGCTTAATAATCTATGAAAGTTCAATGTCGAAGAGTTTCGTCAGTCATGGAATTATTAACATTGTACTACATGTTATTGGCAAATTTTTGAGAAAAATTGACTTTTTTTCTACTCTTTTTGATGATAAACCGAACATCCAAACCTTTTTAAAAGCCTATATTTTTAAAATTTTTTTGCGGAGTCCTGTAAGAAAACTCATCAGAAAATTTCAGTATTCAAAACTCCATGCAGTTTCATCTCCTCTTTTGAACAAGAAAAAACCCGCAGATCTCTATCTAATTTCTATGAAAACTTATTCAAAAACACAGCCAGTTCCATTACTTTTGAAAACAATTATGTATCTAATTAATGTCATTTATCGTTCAATTACTTAATCTATTTATTATAGTGTTATTATATGGGTACTTCCACCGGAAATCTCCCACCATTACAGTGACCTCG